CACAGAAGGGATGTCTACCCCCCTCCTGCCAAAATGACACCATGAGGCCGCCTTCTGGCCTTGGCACTAGGAGATGCTGGGGTTTGGGAGATGATGGCAAGAAGGTGCCAGTCCTTCTAAGTGACGTCTTAGAAAACCTTGGGCCATATGGCAAGATCCATGAGAAAAGACTGTCCCCCCCCCCCCGCTTAATCCTCAGGTTGAGCACTTTGAGATAAGGCCGTCTAGACTTCCAACCACAGTAGCTGTCCCAAGAACACTATCTGGATATCAAAGGCTTTGTTTTAAATTCCCTTGGTGTCCATCCAAGGATAACCTCTGCTCCAGAGCTACGGCATGCCCTGCCTTCAAGACTTTAGCCTCAGCAGCGAATGCAGAGTTTTCTCCAACGGTTCAGAGCAAGGAACAGCCAGAAGTCTGCATTTCCCCTATATTGGATCTTATCAGATGCAATTTCCTTACAGGACAGGGGAAAGTGAACAAATCCAGCCACATTATTTTTATTTTGTACATTAGGCACCCACAGATATTCCCATTTCTGGTCTCCGAACCTGGCTAACGCAAGCACAGCTGCAGCAAAAACCAAGCTTCCTCCTCCCTTTGTACCATTTACGATAAACTCATGAGATGGTGGGACCGTTTCCCGTACCGATAGCCTGCTTAAATCTACAAAATGCAGCCTATATGAGATAGGAAATATGAGGAAGCTCCACCTCCCTCTATACTGAAGCCGTTTACGGATCTCCGTTATCTGCGGGGGAACAGCTTGAAGCCCCTTACGCAGATACCAAACCACGTGGATTTTAGTGAACACGATACATAGCAGGGTCTCCGGCTCCCTCTATGGGCCAGCTCTAGTAACTTCATCTATAGAAATATATATATTTCTAGGATTTTTCTTTTAATATTTTCAGACCGTGGATAAGTGAATCCGGGGATATGGGTCCCGCAGATAAGGGGGTCCCTCTGCACATCTATACATTTACAAAATATGGAGAAGGCACAAGGATTAGCAGTGTGGCTTGCCCATGACACATTTTCGCCTAAAGGCATTAACCCTCTCTTTAAACTGAGAACTGAAGGATGCTTGAGAGGCAAAGAGATTTGAAGGGATGGTGTTTGGAGCCATGGCCCTTGATGACGTGAAGACCCCAATTTCCCAAACAGGGCTCCCCTCACCCTGTTTATCTTCCAGCTTTGCAGGCCTATTCCTCTAGGGCTTGATACCAGCAAAACAAGCAGAGGAGACTCCCAAAGGTGTGGCAGATCCTAGCAGGGTTTCTTCCTCTTGTTTCCTGCTCAAGCGGCACATCCACGCCTGGCCAGTTTAAGGAAACGTCAGCCCTCGGCTTCCAGCGCTCTTCAACGCCTGGCCTGGGAGGGTTCCCCAGATAACCAGCAGAGTTTCACCCTTCTCTGGCTCAACTCCCAACTCACCAGAAAGCACGATATAACAAAGCGGATTGAGGCTGTTGACAGGCAGCTCAACATCTGCCGTCGATTTTTTAATGAGCAAAATGTTGGCCCGTCTTCTGTGGATTTCGCTGGTTTTTTAAGCACGGGTTTTTGACGGGCTCTTCCTGCTTTATCGGTGGCTGTGATGGCCAGGGAACACGGAAGGCTTGAAATGGATGGGGAGGCATTCATGTTGCCATTGCAACCCTCTTTGGGGGTTAAGATCCTCAGGGAAGGCCTTTCTCACAGTCCCGCCACCTTCACAGATGCGCTTGGTGGGGCACAGGGGAGGGCCTTCTCTATGGCTGCTCCCAGAGACTCTGGAACTCCCTGCCACTGCAGGCCAGCCTGGCTCCCATCTTTGCTGTCCTTCCATGAGCAGGCAAAGACCTTTCTCTTCAGGCAGGCTCTCCCTCTGCTGATGGCTGCCTGCATGGGGATTGTTGCATCTTACTGCTCAATGTGTTTTTGCTACTGAATCTGTTTACTGTTTTTAGTGTGGTATTTCATCCTTTTTAGTCTTTGCATACTTGCTGCTTTCAGTTTTAAATATTGTCTTTTAATGACGTCAACCTTGTTGGGTTCTTCTTATGGAGAAAGTCAGTTTAAAATATCTTAAATACAATTAGATTATATTAGACATCCTTCAGTCTTGAGAGACTATGGAAACGTGCTCTGTATGCAGGACTTGGAACAGCGTCTAGTGTGGCTGAGGAGGCCAATTCGAGAGTGACCGTCCCTTCCACACTGAAGACAAATACAATCTGTACCCTGTCCAGCTCCCAGATTTTGCTGCTTTCGGGACTGCCTCTTTGCCTCGGCCTGCTGGACAAGGGTCTCTCCAAAATGGGAGAGGCTGGAATGCAACACCTGCCTTCAGGCTGAACGCTCACATGTCAGGGTTTCCCATCTGTTGAGGTCCATTCCCAAGGCCTTCAGATCCCACTTGCAGATCTCCTTCTATCGCAGCTGTGGTCTCCCTCTGGGGTGGTTTCCCTGCACTAATTCTCCAGACAGGAGATCCTTTGGAATCCAACCATCAGCCATTCTCACGACATGCCCAAGCCAACGTAGACGTTGTTTCAGTAATGTATACATGCTAAAAATTCCACTTTGTTCTAGGACTACTCTATTTAGAACTTTGTCCTGCCAGGTGGTACCCAAAATGTGTTGGAGACAACGCCTATGGAACGTGTTCAGCTTTCTCTCCTGCCGTGCACAAAGGGTCCAGGACTCATAAATGAACAAAATAAACACAGGAATAAAACAAACAAACAAACTTTGGAGGCTTGCTACCACAGTCAAAGGAACTAAAACTGGGCGGAATGAAAAAGAAAAAAAGAAAAACCAGCCTGACTTGATACTAAGGTCGTGCTACCGTGTTTGTTCCAGTGATTTTGCCCATTCTTTCTTGAAAAACAACACTGAAATTTTTCTTTGTTATTTACAGTAACCCCGCCGCCTTGGCCTGGGCCAGCTGGCATTCCAAAGAAGCATTCCACACCAATGCTCCAAGAGACACACACACACACACACACACACACACACACACACACACACACACACACACACACACACACACACACACACACACACACACACACACACACACACACACACACTCTGTTGTGTTTTCCATTGCCACCATGTGCTCTGAATTAAGTTAACATTGTCCAGGTGGTGCCTGAAAATGTCAGGAGGAGGCCCGTTGTGTCAGGCCGACCTGCGCACGCACGACATGAAGGACCCAACACCGTCTCTCAGAAAGACACTCAAGGCATCTACGGGAACCTGTGGAAAAGTCCTACAGTTTCAGTGTGATGAGGGAGCTTTCGGCTGGGGGAAGGCAGGGGAAGGGGGGGAATAAGCACTACCATTAGCTCATGCGTCGTGGTATGTGCAGCTGAGGCCCCAAACCGGGGCAAGGTAAACTCCTGCCCCCGATTCCTATCAGCAGGGGCTGTCAGGGGCGAGAAAGCTCATCCCCCGGTTAGGTCAGCCAAACCATCCTCTCACAACCTCGGATCGGATCTTCTCTCCGCCTCCTGCTGTTTTCCACATTTCCCCAGATGGACACCCCCCTGCGTGTGCTCTTTAGTTACTGGGGTGTTTTTAGAAGAGCGCAGCAGAGCAAGGAATGAAAAAAAGGCTGGTCCCAGAAGCGCTCTGAAAAAAACAAGGAACAGCTCGCTCAGGAGGTGAACTGTGCAGGCCAGACGCAGGAGGGTTTTCTTTGACCATCAGTTTTCCTAATGCCTCGCGCTGTTATCGCCGTTGCCTCTCGGCCTCCACGTGGGTTTCCCCTCGAGAAACCTCGCAAGGGAGAGATGCCCTCGCTTGGCTAACAAAACAGGAGCTCGAACGCCATACCTGCATAACCTAGAGGTCTGTCGCTCTCCCTTACTGAAACCATCGCTGGGACTTCATGGCAGTGGTCTCCCATCCAACTGCTAACTGGGTCTGACCCTGCTTAGCTTCCGAAGGTGGAAGAGATTTAGATGGATTCAGAATGGACAGGTGGATGATACAACTCACTCAAAGCCCACCACTGTCTTCTTCCCACTTTTTTCACCGGCGGCTGCTGCTGAGTAAAGGGGATCAAAATGTCCTCCTGTGGCTCTACTGCACCCATTTTCCTTCTTTCTCAAATGCGCTGGACTGCAGGGTCTCCAGATTTGTCTGAACAACTTGACTGTGAACTCCTTGGAAACATGGACTACACTTTCAAGTGGGAGGCTGAGACTCAAGCTACATGGGTAAAGGTAAAGGTTCCCCTTGGCAATTTTGTCCAGTCGTGTCTGACTCTAGGTGGTGGGGCTCATCTCTGTTTCCAACCCATAGAGCTCACGTTTTGTCTGAAGACAATCCTCCGTGGTCAAGTGGCCAGTGTGAGAAACATGCCCCCCCCATTAATCAGTGTCTGCTTTGAATGGCCCAGTCCAAAAGTGGGGCAAGTTGTGTTTGTGTACTACAGGGACCCAAATCCACGCAGGCAAAGGGATCCTGGCTGGGTAGATTCTGTGTCTTCTAGCCCCTAGATGGAAAATTTCTAAGCTCTGGTCAACTCACGTGGTGAAATCTCTCAAACGAGATGTTTCACGGGACTGTTCATGGTTTCAAGATCTGACTTGGCTGTTTGAGAGGCATCAGTCACCCTATAATACAACCCAGTGACTCCTTTTACAAATGAGTAGAGGTTTCCATAAGTGACACTCAAGAGAGCTTGACTGCCCTGCAAGTTCAATTCATTCCCTGTCTATCTTACATTAGGAAGTTCTGGAGAACATTTATCGTAAAGAGAGGAGAGCCGCCGAACATGGGATTCTCCTCCCTCCCTCCTAGACATTCTACAAAGGAGAACAGTCCTTTCTTATTGTACTTTAATTGCCTACTTTTCCATACCTGGGCAGTCTATCTCAAAAAGTCTATTTCTAGAAGAAACGACGGAGCACAATAGGCATCTCCTGGCCAATTAAGCCAGGCTTAATCAAAAACCATTGAAACCAAAGACATTCATATGGAAGAGAATTAAAATTATGCCTTGCCTATTTTACCTGCCGGAGGCCACGCTTTGATATAACCAGTGCAATGGACCACAGCATATTGGGCTTCTCCTTCTTTGACGGGTCCAAGGCCGTTCCTAAAGGGAAGGAAAAGTATGTTTTGGCATCAAACCAACAAGACGGTTAAAGTGGTCACCCCTGTGGTTTCTCCTTTGCTTCTCTTCTCTTTTTTTGGAAGGGTAGGACTGTGATGGAGTTAAACGGCTTTAGCGACAACGATCTCTTGCCAAATGCTTGGCAACTTAGCTTTCAAATTTCAAATCAACCTCCAGTGCAGAGCAGGTAGACTGGGCCTTAGATCTCTTGCAAACGTTGTCTAATTCCAGCACAGATTGGTTAGACTTTGGGTTCAGCCTCCTGTTTGGCACACCTTCTAAATTCTTTAGAGAGCAGACTTTGGGTTCAGCCTCCTGTTTGGCACGCCTTCTAAATTCTTTAGCTTCCCAAGAGTCAAAGTCCTAAAACCCTCCTTTTTCACAAAGTGGTCAAGTGAAGACCACAACGGCCAGAATCTCCTAACCAGCTGGAGGATCTGGGGGCAGGCTGGGTTCTCCCAAAACAACGCAGCCCATCTCTGTGTCTTCACCATGCAAAGCTGACCCTTGTTCACCACGACTGGGAGCTTTTTAAAGCCTCGTCTCCAAACCCATCATTGCTGTGCGAGGCCTTGGACGGTCCACGGAGGAAAGACAACCCACCACCAGTGTCTCCTTCTGGGACGAAGTGAGGGGGCTAATCAAACAGGGGTACGCCAAAGAAGCCCCGGAAAGCCACTTACCTGTACCTTTTCCGCATCGTCGTGATCCTGTTCAGGGGTAAGTGATCTAAAGGAGCGTTTCCACACCTGGAATCCAAAATGGCACATGGGCAAGGTTAGCAACAATACCGGATTGCACAGGGAAGCGGGGAGGGTTTAGGAAAAAAACAGGTAGAGCCAAGTATCTTTTTAAAAAATCATCATCATCGTTGTCTTAGAACTGCTGAGCTGGAAGGGACCCTATGCATCTTTGAGTCAAGGAGGCACAGCGGGGAATTGAACTCCCAGCCTGTCAGGAGAGGGTTCTTAAGCTGGACCAAGAACTGTAAGCAACTTTCATCTGAAGCTTTCTCTCCTACTGTCTCTCTTCCTTTGGCTATTTTTCCTCTCCCAGGATAATCTGGATATTCTAATTAGGCACATTAGAGACAGTAGGGAAACCCCCTGAACACAGACAGAGCAGAGAAACCCCAATTCAGAAATGTGGGGAAACTGAGCTGCATGAACTTGTCATCAAGTTCCTCACTGACTCTCCTTCCTTCCTATTAAAGCAAAAAAAGAGAGATGTTGCTGTTAATATCCCCACTCCGTTATGCTTAAAGCACTCTCTAGGCAGTTTGTAATTTAATTATGCCAGCTACTCGATTTACTGTCCTCAGAAGGATAGAAGCCTGAGTCAAGATGGACCTTGTGTCACGAGCGGAGTCTTCACCGCAATACTGCAGTTGAGCCAGCGTGCCACGAGACTCCACTTCTTAGCACATATGTAGAAATGGACGTGAACAGCCAGTTTGGTTTATCAGCCGAACTGGTGATAAACCTTGCCTTCTCCAGTGGGTGCCCGCTCAAGCGTCAGGAGGAGATGGGGCAGCGAAGTCAGGGTGCTCCCTCTAAATGGGCACCCGCAAGAGGAAGTGCAGCTTTGAAGAGCTGAACACTTGTTCGGGCAATAATCGAACCCGCAGTTCATGCCCATCTCCTATGTGAAATTATTTGCTTTTACTAGCCCAGAGTTCAGATTTGATACAGGTCACCTTTTACACCCAGATGGCTAGGTATCTGAAAAACTGACCAGTGAAATGTACGAGGAACTCAACCGTATAACATTTCCATGTTGGATGTTAAATAGGGGGCAAATTTGCAAAGGATGTTTTAGCTACACACTTGTATTGTACTCTTCCAGCCCCCTCCCTTGGGTTTACGTGTGTGTCGGAACACAAAGTACCATACATGACAGAAGCACGTGTGTGCAGAACAAGCGTACAAGCCGAACTCTTCGAAAGGACACCGATGGGGAAATAAAACGATCTGTTTACCCCTCGGTCAGAGGCAAAAACTCCCCTGCAGCTATCGGAGAGTGCGGGAGGAAGGGTTCAGTATGTGAACTCCGAAAACAGATTTTGAAAGCGGAATGAACATATGGGTAAAGGAATCCCAAAAATTTCTTTTTGGTCTGGAGCCAAATCAACCGCAAGCCACAGACTCAAGGGAAACCTAATTACTGCCATCTGGCATGACTGAGAAAATGAAATATTCAAAGACAAGTCACCTCGAAAGTTTGCAAATAGCAAAAATGAAGATGCTCTCAAGATTTGCTCATGTGTCTAAAATTAGCTGGGTGATTACTATTTTTTCCTTCTATTTTTTAAAAAAAACAATTATTGCACTAGTTTGTTGAAGAGCATAAACACAACCGCATTCCCACTTCCATTGGCTTACATGTCAGTGGTCAATCGGACGCATGGTTTTTCAAAGGAAATTTAGTTCTCACCTAACGCTGCTGTGGAAAGGCTACGAGGTGTCGGTCCCTTCGTTAAGTGCAAAGACACTTCAAAATTCAGATTGGCGGGCCAGAATCCTGTTGCACAGCTCCACCTGTACTTTGGGAATGATACTGTCATCAGCATTGGATGGCCACTACTTAAAGAGTTTCTGTTTTGATTTTGGGGTGTGTGCAACTCGCGTGCAATGAGATAAAGTCTCACACACCTGGAAACCGAACAGTGGACTCTTCAACTAGTGGCAATCTACTGCTGCTAATGACATCGCTCCCATGGCACAGGAGGAGATGTTAAAAGAAGCAAGAACAACAGGGTTGTCCAGACAAAATATTCTGTATTGAGGCCGGTAATCATCCATCACCATGAGGTGGTGCATCTGTAGCCCTCCTTTGGGTAAATTCATGGCTGGGTTGTGCTTTCCATGGTCTCGCTGAGAACCCAAGCAACCCAGCAAATTTTCCATCAGCATCTATATGGCAAATTTCAAGAGCTGCTCCTCCATGTGTTGCTGTACAACCTTGTACGTGTGAGTGTGTGCGCACAAACACAGGCATCCATGCTACCAGTTGCAGTTGTGCAGGATGAAGGAAAGGGAGCCTGGTGCCTGGGGGATTATGGGATCCATAATTCAAAAAAGACCAAATTTCCAAGTTCTGCGCATAAGACATAACAGTCATAAGAACAGAGAGAAGCATCGGAATCATGGCATCAGAGGGCATACCGCATTCTGCAGATGAATGAGCGCCTCGACCCCATACACATCCTCATGGATGATTGTTGACCTTCCTTCTTCACTGTCCCTGTCTTCAGATCCAGAATCCTTCCTGAAAGGGTTTGGGTCAAAGTGTGGAATGAGAGAAAACAACGAGAAGAATGAATTAAGAAAGGCAAGTTACACCCATTTTAATTTTTTTGCTATGTGCAATCCAGTTGCTTCAAACTTACGGTTAACGTAACGTGGTTTTTGATAAATGTGAGATGTTCAAGAAGTGGCTGGCCACTGTTGCCGTCTTCCAGTGAGTTTCCATGCACGAGCAGGGATTTGAACTCAGGTTTCCTGAGTCCTAGCCTGGCACTCTGTCCACTTCAACACTCTGGCTCTCTCCAGTTTTACTTAACAATAATTGTGTGCCATTTAGTCAATTCTGACTTATGATGACCCCTTTCAGGGTCTTTCAGGTAGAGAAGACTCAGACATGGTCTCCCCTTCCCTTATTCTGGGGTCGCCCTGGGACTGTGCAGCTGGCCCAAGGCCACCCAGGCTGGCTCTTCTCCCAGGAGTCACAAGTAGGGGAATCGAACTCCCAACTCTCATGCCTAAACCACTGAGTTATCCAGCCACTTTTATTTACTGTGCCCATAATCTGAAAGCAAGAGAGGTTCTGATCGTAGCTACAGTATTCCATCTCCTTGTGATGGAGAAATTGGAGATACGTTTCACAGTGCATTGCTTTTAGCTACCGATTCTCTTTACTTTTTACATTTGTGCCACTGGCTCAAGTACTACATTTCTCTCCAGATCAAAGCACTGTAATTCTTGGAATGCATGATTAAAGCAAAATATCACCTCAAAAGTGAGTAACAAACAGGAAGCACAGAGACAAACACATCCAAAAATAAAATAAAATAGGGGGAAAGGTTCTACTCCATTTCCGAAACCGGTTTCATGGTGGCTTACAACAATTATTTAAAGTAATATAGGGAGACAAAACAATCAAAGCCGTATGGCTGCACAAAAGTAATGGGATGGAAATAGGAAGCAGCAGAGAGGACAAGAGAAATGAATGCCGAAGACCTACAGAGTCAGGCTCTTTCACGGATGTAAGCAGGAAAAAAAGGATTTAAATCAAAATGAGCATGTGTTCTGTCTAACCAAAGCATATTCCTCGCAGACAGTGGTTCCCAAGCTTGGGTAACCCAGATGTTCTTGGACTACAACTCCCAGAAATCCTGGCCTGCACAGCTAGCAGTGAAGGCTTCTGGGTGTTGTGGTCGAAAAAACACCTGCGTATCCAACATTGGGAGGCACTGCTCTAGGAAGACAATGGATTTTTGTAGGTTTAGAAGAGAAATTCAGATGACGGACCAACTGCCAAGGCAACATGCTGGAATTTTATGACCCAACCACTCATTTTGGGAACTTTTGTGACTCCCTCCCCTCCCCTCCAGCGCTAGACAGTTATTTAAAGTCTTAATTGCCTCCATGTGATGGCTATTCTGGCAGGCGACACCTTAATGTTGCATGCTACTCCGCTGTCGCCTTTCGGACCGTTGCGTCTTCCCTTTGGAATTTCTTTAGAAGATGCCTCTCGAAAAAGGGCTCTTGCACGAGCCAGATCTTGCCCTGAATTATACCCCCATGAAACCTCAGTGACCTACTTTGAGGTGTGAGTCAGAAAGCTATTTATGAGCGGGGAAAGGATGACTGGGAACTGAAGCAATCCTCCGTTGTTACATTGGTGAAAACACGAGATGACGCTCTCCTTTGAGCCGACGGAGGCAACGGGTTTGACCGCAGGGGTCTCCCGAGGATGGAGGTTAAGCAACTGGTTTGGCTTCAGAGGGATGCCAAGATTCACATGACCTCTCTTTGCAACTGCCCAACGATCTTGGGGAACCTGGAAAAGTTACTTTTTTTCACCTAACATGGCTACTGAGCCTTCCCTCCTTGATGTCAGTTCCCTCCTGGTATCTAGAAAGAATCGTTTCTTTGTCTTCCCTAGTCTATGCATAGCTGAGTTCAGGTTACTCTAGAGGAGAAGCCATAGCTTTGCTTACTTTGGGCCCCAGCTCCTCAGCAGTCTGTCTTTCTTGGGCAGACCTGGCAACCCATTCTGCCAAGGCCAACGGATTCAAAACCTAGGATCCAGTCTCGGATCTCCTAGCTAGCCCAGTCAAGGGTCAGGGTTTCTGAGAGATGAGTCCTAGAACATCTGGAACCCTGTGTCTGGAACCGCTGGCCCAGCCTTTTGCCTGCCTCAGCTTGTCACAACCTGGAACTCTGGTCAAACAGCAGTGAACACAACTATACCACGGGGCATGCTGTACAAGTTTTATGGTACATAATGGCTAGTGCAGAAAACAGCACCTATATCCTGGAGTCAGTGGTATGCTGGCCACTTCTATGTCACACGCATTGCTAAAAAATATGCAGAAAAGGGCAACAACTATACCACGGGGCATGCTGTACAAGTTATATGGTAAATAATGGCTAGTGCAGAAAATAGCACCTATATCCTGGAGTCAGTGGTACACTGGCCACTTCTATGTCACATGCATTGCTAAAAAAATGCAGAAAAGTGCAATAGACATTGCTTTGCATAAAGCTGCTCCTGCTAATTTGTATGAACAGAGGCAAAACTAGAGATGGTTGCTTAGTGTATTTGGCTGCAGAGCCAGAGGTTGGGAGTTCAATTCCCCTGCGGTGCCTCCTTAACAAGGGCTGAACTTGATGATCCCATGGGGTCCCTTCTGGCTCTGCAGTTCTATTATTATATTATTATTATAAGCACATGTGTGTCACAATTTGAATGGCAAAGCTTGTCTCCCTTCTGCTAACAACAAAATCTGCATCCTCTACCACAAACCAAGCTGACAGTTAAATAAAGTCCTTTGCTGCTGACTTACTGTTGTATAGTTAAGTTTACTACCATGTTTTCCCAAAAACAAGACAGGGTCTTGTATTATTTTTTGCCCCAAAAAACTCATTAGGGCTTATTTTCAGGGGATGTTTAATTTTTTTCATGTACAACACTCTACATTTATTCAAATACAGTCATACCATCTTCTTCTGGTAGCTGCATAAGGGTGGAGGGCCGGGTTTCACTTCACTGGGGCTTATTTTGGGGGTAGGGCTTACATTACGAGCATCTGGAAAAATCATACTAGGCTTACTTTCAGATTAGGTCCTATTTTCGGGGAAAGAGGGTAACTGGATTAGTGTTTATGCTTAGAAAGGTGGAACGCACATTAGATTTCACAATTTTTCCTTCTGAACAGAAAATTGATTTAAATGTTGTTACACTGCTTTGTATTGTGTAATGTTGTTTTTATTAGTTCTGGACATCAAACGTTAAGAAGGATGCCAGAAAACTGGAGCAAGTTCAGATGATGGCAGCAAGGATGAACGGGGGGACTGGAAACCAAGCCTTGAAAGAATTGGGCATGCTTAGCCTTGGGAAAAGAAGACTAAGGGGAGAAAAATATGACAGCACGTTTCAAATACTTGAAAGGCCGTCACACAAAGGAGGGGCAGGATCTGTTCTCAATCATCCCAGAGTGCAGGGCACGCAACCATGGGCTCAAGTTACAGGAAGCCACATTTAGGCGGAAAATCAGGAAAAACTTCCTAACTGTTAGAGCAGTACAACAACAGAACCCATGACCTCAGAGGGAGGTGGTGAGCTCTCCAACGCTGGAGGCATGCAAGAGAAAATTGGACTACCCTCTCTGTCAGGTCTGCTATGGATTCCTGCTTTGAGCCGGGGGTTGGACTCGATGGGCATGATTCTATAAAGACATGTGGACGAGGACACTCCATCTGTTGCCCGTCCTCTGTCTACAGCTGTGCTGAACCAAGAGATGGACTCTGTGCAAGCCCTTTTGTAACCAAGTGACTGAGTCTCTTTGCAGGCGGGGGGGGGGGACTTTTCACCCGTCTTGGCTCTGACCCATTTCAACACAATGGAGTACATCTTAAATGCACCGTGCTGAAGTTTATAGGCTGATAATCAAATGCAGTCCAGATTTTATTGCCTGTTATTCCATTCTCTTTGACAATTCCCGCCGGGCAGCTAAATCCAGCAATCCAGCTCCTTATTCAATGCCAGGCTTCTCTCTCTCTCTCTGTCTCTCTCTCTCTTGGACGCTTGTATTCTATACAGCATCTCTTCCTAGTGCCAAAACCATTTTCAAAATCCAGGCGAGAGGGAATATACAGTGTATTTATTATGAGTCAGTTTTCATCAGATGCTCAAAAATAACACACGATTCATTGCCTGTATTCTCCATCCCAAAGAAAGGAAACAGCCTTCCCACCAGCTGGCCAGGGGCCGTCGCTCAGTGGCAGGCCATGTCAGCAGAAGCGGGTGACTCAGATTTGGTGTGGGTGGAGAGTCGTCCGCTCCAGGTTTCAGCCTGAATTTTACAGAAGCTATCCGCTCGTTCCCCAAAATAGGCCCACCATCTTGAATAGCTCTTTTAAAGGCCAGACTAAAACATGGACTGGATTTACCACCACCACCCCCCCATGCAATCGGAAGCAACCACTTCCACTGAAATGTGTGCTAGGCTGAATCCTCAGTATCCTTGATAGGGCTCAAATCCTGGCTGAAATCCTTGAGCCGCTTCAAGTTGGAAGATTTTAACTCATGGAAGCATTACATTTAACCATGGTTGGCTCCCTTCTGGCCAAGATTCCCAGATATAAAGTAGAAACTATGGTTTAGTGGGTTGAAACAAATCCAATCCCTAAGGATATAAAGAAACATCCCAGAATATTGCGGGAAACAGCTTTAAATATGGTTGCCTACTTCCAGCTCCAGCACTACCACTGTATCATGGTTTCATTGCTGCTGTTACAAACTTACTTCAAACCATGATTTCACATCCTGGTTTGTACAGGGTGAACATGCCCTACATTCACACAGAGGAAATCAGTGCTTCTACAGTAGAACCCAGTGGCTGAATTTTTGTTGCTTAGCATTGTAAGTCACACTGGACGCGGCTCACTGAATCAGATTTGGTGAGCCAACCCCACTGTAAGTTCCATTGATTCAAATAGGCCTACTCTAGTTTTCTGTACTTTAGCACAGTAAGTCACATT